AGAGGATATTTCCTAGAAAAAAAAATAAGTCAACGTGTGGTAGACACACAGCCCAGAAAATTTCAGCATGAATGCCTAAAATTTTGCTGAATAACAAACAATTCAAGAGACGTCCCTCCTAACAGAGAGTATCAAGCAGATAGACTTCAGGCATTGCTGGCAGTCCTGCCATCAGCAGCTGTGACAGCTTGCCTGGCAGCTCCACTCTTTAATTAGCTCTCATTCCTGAAGTTCATAAGTCAATTAATGCCAAAAACCATCCTTAGATTCTTTTTTAAAATCCTACCCAGGACTCAGTGTCTTACTCACTTACCTATTCTTCCTGTAGCTCAGCTAACAGTTCTGATCCTGTAGAGCATCCCTACAAATTCCAGCTGCCCACAGAGATTGACACTAGTCAAATTCTCTGCCTCTCTTCAACTATTCTCCATATTTCTGCAGCAGTATTTTGCCATTGCTACATACAAAATATACTATTCTTCAGGCTGTTTCTTCAGACCCTGTCACATAAGACTTTCCATGCAACTTGCCTCATATAGTGTAATGAAAAAGAGCACTAACTGCAACACTCTACCATGAGTTTCAAGCAGTCCCCATGTCAATTATATCTACTCAAATCTACTGGCATTACCATACTCCTTTACAGCTTCATAAGACTCAGCAAAGGTATTTAGCAATGCTGGTTCTACCTTCCATCTAGCTCACTTTTAACTGAACATTCTGACTAAGTTTAAGTGATAATGATTTCCACTGGAAACCCAGCTTTGAAACGTCTTCCAACTCCAGAGTTAAAAAAAAAGACCATCCATTTTTTCTATCTCAGTTATAAGAATTTAGTTATGCTTTAGAATTATGTAATGTAATGTAAATGAATAAGCCAGTTTCTGATACAAAGCTCAAAACATGAAGAAACTTCTTAAAGTTCCATACTTTCCATCTTGCTTCTTATTCCAGAAATGCCAATGATCTGGAAAGACATTATTCAAGTCTGCTGGCATTCGAGCAGCTATTTTTCATATCATCCTATCCCAAAAGCAGTTTGGTCTGAAACTTACTGCTTACTACTGCAGTACTTCTAAGAAAGCAGGGTGTTGAGCAGGGGCCTGGGACTTGAACATCTCCAATAAATGTCAAAAGCAAAGTATTAAAAATATTTTTTCTTTGCATTATGATATAGGTACTTACTTTACCCACCACCTAATATTTTTCTTTTGAAACTACTAGAAACTTTGATAGACACTGGCATAACCCCTGCTTTGACCCAACTCATATCAGTAATGTCTCCCTGAAGTTCTTTCCAACTTAACTTTCAAGTGACTGATATATACATATATATACATAACCAAAAAGAATTTCCATTTGCAGATAATGTGTCTGTTTTCCTTACTTTTAAAACACAGATCTACAAACACACACAAAAATATGTATCAGTGAAAGGCATCTAAAACCAGGCAATTTAAATATTCACATTCTAAAATTATCTTATTGAGATATGTAACCTTTTCCCTATTGAATATACAGGTCTGTTTTGCAGGGAATTGTTTGACAAGGATTATGGAGACTGGAAAAAACAACCCAACAACAAATAAAACAATTGCACAAAAGTAAATCAACTCATGAACTTATTAGATGTGAAAGCTGAAATCTCAAATGTCCCTGAATGTTTGTTTATATAGCTAGGTGGATGGACATATATTATTTCTTAAGTACATTTCCCTCTAATCAAGCATATGGCTGCATTTTTAAATGACCCCTACCGCTTACTTCAGATCTTGTTCAGGCAGGTTTGTACCACAGTTCAGGGATTACAGCCAAATACAACAGAGGCTACCTAAAGAGAGCAAGCTGTTGCTATGCTGAAACGTAAGAACTGAGAAACCTGGAGAAAAGGTAGAAGGATTTCAGGAAAAGCATTCAGACTCCCTAAAAAGGAACCCTGAAAAAGAACCTACAAATAAGCAAGAGAGCCTGAAAAGGTGACTAAGCTATCATTTGCCAACCCAAAAGAACACAGGATACAAGGAAAAACAGTTGCGACATTGCTCTCCCTTTGGTTCCCACATCTTCCCACAGACAACATGCTAAGAAATACATCAGTATAGCAAAACGACATGGAAAGCGCTTGCTCCTCAGCAACACCACCTGCCCTTCAGTGCCTCACCAACCTAGTTCCAACACTCAATATATGCTTATAGTGCCTTAGCAGTCCACAGCTGTTAAGAACAGGACAGGCTTGCTGGTATTTTGCCTTTGGGAGCCTTTTTAACCACTTTTAAAGCTACAACAGAGATAGGCAGGCCTAGCTGACAGCTTTTCCTCTGAGTACCAGTGAGGATCTGAGCCTGCCTTCTTCCAACAGAAGGCAAAGGCCACCAGCATCAGTCCTGGATTCATGGGCAAGGGAGCAAGCACCAGCAAGGGAACAGGAAAAAGACTCCCCTCTAACACACCTTGGGCTACCAGCCCCTTGCCCTAAACCTTGAGGATCTCCCATTTTCTAATGCTTTCACTTCAGCTGCAAATGCACACTTTTCCTTGAAGTTCCTGATCACAATAACTTATACTAATTACCAAAAGCTTTTTATTTTAGAGCTTGAATTAAACCTTGATTCAAAGGCCTAAATGTTGCAGCTTCTGGGGACAAGAAAAAAAGAGAAAACACAAAAACAACAAAGAATTTCAGATGAGTTGTAGGAAAGAACTCTATTCATGTAAACACAAGACTCCTGGGGGTCATCACAGCGGACAGCAAGTGTCACACAGGTCTAAACAGTAGTAAGAAAAAGGCCACCTCTGGGAAACTCATATTCAATGGTTTTCCACCAGGATCTACTGAGTGCCTGCTCTCCTCAAGCCCCACAGCACTTTAAAACCAAAGCTTTTTTCAGATACACTGAAATTCTTACTTCAAATCTCAAGCAAGAACCTGGAGGGGGAGAGGGGGGGTGGAGGTAGGGGATAATCCAGTAGCTGTAGGGCTTCCTCTTTACTTTAGAGTCTGAGACTTGGTAACCACCAGATACCTGCTTTGGTTTTTGGATGCTTTGTCCTGGAAGGGTTGTTTTGGTTTCCAGAGCATTTCACAGGATAACAGCACAGGTTTCATATATCCCCAAAAGGCAATTCAGAACACCCAGACAAACCATATCATGAACAGTGTTCAGATATCTGTGCATGCACAGTTTAAGTTCTTCTAATTATTTTACCTGGAATTAAAAAGGTAACAACTTTCCTGCTGCACATCATCCTTTAATGGTTTTTAGTTTTTGCTGCATGACCTTAAGTACCTGAGAGCTCTGATTTTCCACTTGTCCTACTAAACTATTCTCTTGAAAAAAAAAAAAAGTATTCCTCTTCTGTTTCTAAACAGAAACACTAAAGGTGCTCTCTATAGTTCTTCGCTGTTTCCCCAGCTGGCAAAAAGCCTGTATTGTACAGATAAATTAGATGACTGATAGCTGCAAGTAAAAGAAAGCACAGTGGACACCTTCATGTGGTAGGATCTTGACTTGTAGATAGACACCCATCTGCCCCAATTGCCTCACTGCCTGCAAGCAGCCTCAGCGAAGAGACTAGGATGAGCTAGCTTTAGGAAACTGACTTTTCAACTGTAACTATCTGCTTTGCAGACCTGGCTATGAAAGACTCAACAGCCAAACCATGAGGAAAGTGCTCTGGCAGACTTTAAAACAAGAATTAGTTATATAGTTATACAAGCAGAAACTAAGTCAGTAAATACAGTTTTGTTTGAAAAGCATTGCAGCATGGGGCTAGGGCACTGTTACCCATTCCGCCCTCAATCTGGAAAAGGCTCCCACTTACTACCTGCAAGTGCTGAATCAAGAACTGCATGTACTAATTTGTGGGGCATGCTTGCTCACCAGCACCTGAAGTACTCCTGACCACACAGAACTGCTGAAGTACTACACATAACTACGCTACCTGAACAACCTTCTGGTTCTCTAGTTAAACATACTGCTACTTCAGTAACACTGTTAACAACAATGCTACAAGTCAGTGTTGGAAAAAGGGGGTAGTATGTGTGTGAGGAAAGTGAAGAGCTAAAAAACAAAACCCACCATTCACCCTTTTGTGTCGTTCTTGCTATAGTGTCTTTATTTCCGCACACCACCTGCCTGGCATTAACACCAGTAAGGAATAACGCCACGTTAAACTAACGACAGCTACACAATTACGTGAACACGCCATAAAACATCACCTACTCAATTACTCATTATCTCTTCGCAGAACTTCACAGCAGAGGCAGCAAACCCCAAGAGCCAGGAAGGGAGGGTGCACAAGTATTTCTTTCCCCCTCAACACCGGAGTGCCCCAAGAACCCGGCCTCCCGTTGCCAGCTGTGGGGGCCCATCCTGCAGCTTCCCTCGAGGCCGGGAGGAAGACAGGAAAATGATCTCCCCCTCGGCCCTGAAACGAGACACTTCACGAACTGCGAGGTGAAATTTCACTGCCCTTACCTTGCAGCGACCACAGCCCATGCACCGGGTCGCGTAAGAGCAGCTACGGCCACACCGTCACGTCACCCCGACCGCCTGTGGAAACCCCTCTCACCGGGAAAAAGCGGCAAGCAGCATGCCCCGCGCCCCATCCCCCTTGAAGTTCCGGGGAGATACGCGGCAGCAGTCCGCGCTCCGGCCTTGGAAGGAGCACCGGGAGCCGAGGGAACGCGGAGCCGTTAGGGCTGCGCCGGCCGTTAACGCCACCGGGCGCGTCAAGAGAGCGTGAAGGCGGCGGCCCTGCCAGCGGGGCTAGGCACGGCTGAGCCCGGCTTCGCCGCCCCTCGGAGGGCAGCGCCCGGCTGCGCTCCGCCGCGCCTCAGGCGGGCACAGCACGGCGGGCGGTCCCCCGCCCAGCGCCAAGGGGCCCGTGCCCGCGGGCCTGGGTCTCCCCCACTACCTGGGGGTAAGGTGTAAGAGCACAACCTGCCCCTCCCCCCGCCGCCCTCCCTGCTGCCCCGGTCGCGCAGCCTGCGGGCTCACCGAGCAGCAGCAGGAGAACGAAGAGAGGCAGGCAGGACGCCTTGAGCCCGCGGTGCCCCATGCTGGCAGGGTTACGCGGATGCCTCTTCCTGCGCGAGCAAGACCGCCGGCAGCTTGCTCCTCGGCCAACAGCTCGCCTCCCGCTGCCCTGCGAGCACACGGAGCCGCCCGCCCGCCCCGACCGGCCGTGCCGCGCGGCGCAGCCAACCACAGAGACAAACTTTCTCCAGCGCCCGCCCCCTCCTGCAGGTACTGGGGGAGGCGGGGGGGTCCGGCCCAGTTTAGCCTACACACCCTGAGAGGGGAGGAGAACAGACTGCTGTGCGGAGAGCTCCTCACACAGCGGGGTCGCGTCTCCCGGCCTCCAGGAGCTACCACGCACACGTGGCCCGGGACAGGCCCCGTGCCCGGGCGCGGGGGAGGGGAGAGGTCTCGGAGCTGGACTCCCTGCTGCTGCCGCCCGGGAACAGCCGTTGGGCCCTGCGAGCGCGCGGGGCCTCCATGGCGCCGCTCCTGCCCTGCTGCACTCTTCCCCGGCCGCGCCGCGCCGCGCCGGGGTGAGGTCTCCTCGTGTCCGCTGTGCCCGCCACCCCAAGCGGGTACCCCCGTCGCAGGGATCGGCTGAGCGCCCCTTTTCTCACGGACACATCCGCAGCCCAGTGTTCCCCCACACTGAACCACAACACAGGCATGGGGGGTCACCCGCATCTCTATCTCCACGCAAACGGAGGCCGAGAGCTGCCCGCTGATCCGAGCACAGCCCAAACACGGAGGTTCCCTACATGTGGTCTCACAGCCCTAACTGGAGGGTCCTCTCGTGTCCCCCCCACTCACGCAGGCATAGACTCAAAACCCACCTGTGGGATGGGGTCCACTTTTGTCCCTGCCCTGCACAGCCTGGGTTAGGACAGGGAGCGTAGGGGGCAGCATGGATGCCCTCTGCCCCAAGCAGGGGATAGGGTTACTCTTGCACACAAGCAGCGCTGCCCTGTTTAGGACAAAGTTTCTTTTCCCCTTCTTGCCTTCCCAACGTTAACTCAACAAAGGGCGGCTGCCACACGGGATTCTTGCCACCACTCCACCACCTTTTTTCCCGGCCTGCTGACAAGGGATTTTTGTTTGCTCGGGGATTTAATTTCCTGTTTGTAAAAACAAAGAACTGAGGCACTGGCCTTCTCTCTAGTAACTCAGTCAGTTATCTGCTGCTTCATTCCCCTTAACTGTAAATCAGCGCTCTCCTCATGTGCGTTGTGCACTTTGCTACCTAGGCTCCCTTCAGGCTATCAGTTCTTTTGTTGGTGATGGAGCTGAGTCTGTGTTACACTGTTTCTGTGAGTGGGGAATCTCCAGAGCCTATGCAGTTTCGGGCTGCTGCTCCCACACAAAATGGCTGGTTTAGGATTTATTCTAGCGTCTTTGCTGCACTTTGGTCTTGAGCATGCCTTGACTTGGGTGAGGTTGTTTACTTCCACTAGCAGGAAGTGTGTGCTGTGTTCATAACTGAGCATGATTATCAGATTGGATTTTAGTTTGGCCTTTGTTACTCATTCTGTAATGCTTTACAGTAGAGAGGGTTGCCTTGTAGGAATGAAAAAAGACCCTCCTAAAACTGATGATCAGAACTTTTACCCTCCAACCACAATTACCCGAATTCCTGTACACAGTAGATCTCTTTGCAGAACTGCAGCCATGAGGTACCTGGGGGCCACTTAGTCCTGTCTACACTGAAGTTCTCCTAGCTCCCAAACTGCAAATGAGGCTGAATCCATAAGCATGACTGAGAAAGGGCTGCCCAAACAAAACAAGACTCTTTTCACCTATGTTTACAATACCCTCCTGTGCCTGTTTGTTCTTGCTGCCTCTTTCCAGTCTTTCTGCTCTACCTCCTCCTTTGGCCAGCATTCAAATACATCTTTCCTTCACTGAAAAACATCACTTCTGTAAACTAAGCCATGTCCCTTACACAAAATTTAGAAAACAGGTTAGAACATCTCTCACTGATCACCTTCCATCATGCTGGTTAAACTGCTGCAACTTCATCAAACTCTCATGCTGAAAATACTCCCCTTGTGCCTCTTAAGCCTGGCAGCAGTGATCCTGATACATATACATGGATGCAGTCATGAATGCAAAGTTTACTGTGTGCACAAGGCCCCTTATTTTGCAGACCCCCAGTCCACATTTGCTTTGTACTTCTTATTTCCTGTGCTCTGTTGCTAGTTGAGGAACACTGATCCAGGACATGAATTACCATGCTGAAAAGTACAGCAGTGACCTGATGATTTTCATTGTGTCCTTGGAAAAAAATTTTCTCACGATTGTCCCATTTTGAATACCCTATTGCTCTTACTGTAACTGCTAGATACCAGCATCTACTTCACCACTGCTCCGCAGTTAGTTACACTGGTGAAAAGAACAGGTAAATCCGTGCTATTCTGAGCTATGGTGTGTGGTGTTCTCAACAAGTGCCAGAAGGGACCACTGTACCTGTTAATCTGACCCATACACGCAAGCCATAGATTTTTTCTTTCCCAGCAGCTGTATCAAAGTGAGTTTGAAAGACAGCACATCTTTGTCTTAGACCCCAAGTAACGGCAAGTGCCTCACTCTACTTACTAATTTATTCCAATGTAATTATTCTTGCTGCCAGGAAAATGCTTCCTTTAAGGCTGAATTTATCCAACTTCGAGACATCAGGACTTGTTATGCCTTTGTCTAAAAACTGTAACCCACCCATTTTCATGGGTAAGTAACCATACATGGTGATCGTACCACTTCTGCTTGTTAAACTGAATAGAGTGTTTCCTTTGAAGCCTCACACTGTAAGATTCAGTTTCAGCCACTGAAGCATTTTTCACTCTCCAATGTTTCTAAGTGCTTTTTAACTCACAGGCACCCACCCTAGATACAGTGTCATTGTGTTCTATACACACATGCTGTGCACAAAGTAAAAATCATCTCTCAGTCGTCGTTTGGTTTCCCTCTCTCACATCTCTAAAAATGGAATTAGACCATTAACAGCCTACACTGCACAAAAACCTTGTGGAGTCCATTACCCATGTTGAATCTCCAACTGTCTCTCTGCATCTGTGTTTTCTAAGAGAGCATCTTTATCCTGCCATCACCAACGTTCTTCCTTCCTCGCTACATGGCCTTGCAGCAGGGTGTGCTAAAATACGTTTCGTAGTATTGTGACAATTTAAGCTGGTGCTTGAGATCCCTCATTCAGTTTGAGAACTGTTTCTCTGAGGCTGATAAATCTCCAGCATAGATGACAGAAAGAGCAGGCATGAAGCTGGCCACTGTGTTAGTCTACCTTCTCCTTTAAAACCTGTTTTCTTCTTTTTTGTGTGTCCTACTTTCAATGGATTGTTACATGTATGTGATTATGTCATTTTTTCCCCTTGCCAATTCCATTTTGCATAGCTCAGCTACAAGAGCCAGACTGAGTCAAAAGCTTTCTCCAAGTATAAAGTCAGGATAAATATTTTCCTCTGGTTTTCTGCTTTCACCTTGTTTATTCGTGAGATGCAGAGTAAATATGTGGTCAGTTGTTGGTTTCTCAGAAAGGCATCCCATTTGACTTTCAGTGTTTAGCATGTTGTTTTTTCGAGTAGATACCACATATGATTTGTTTATTGATGATGCTGCAGAAATATTTGCCTGCATTTCATCATGCCTAGATTTCTGCATAATGCAAAGGGTGAAGGCATCTCTCATTTGGGAGTAACTAGATTAACCAACTGAATCTCAAGGAAGGATCAAGATTAAAGTGTTGTATTAGACATATTATTATACATGCACATATGTGCATGAATGCACACTGATCCTACAGAAACCCATATACAACCACTCCATTTTTGTGCCACTCCTCCAATATATATTTGCTTGCTGTTGCAAAGTTTCACTCTTTACAAACATGGATAAATGACTCTTGTTCTCCCCACTTCTTTGTTTCCTAAGCAGCAGAAGACAAAGGTTAGACGACTGCATAGCAGGCCTGCATGCAGCATGGAGTGCAAAGGTAAACTGCATTCAGAAGCCCTTTACATCTCCAACCAATAGCAGAAGGACCCACCCTGATGAGGATCCAGCACCATGTTCAGGGGCAGAGGCTGCAAAAGCACTGCTAACATGCAGTGCAGATTGCTGGCTGCAAGCCTTAAGCAGGGGAGAAATCTTTTGGCCCCATTGCCCTATTTACTTGAGTCTCCTTGCTGCTGGTGTGTAGCAGCCTTAATCTCTCCCCAACAAAAGAGAGGGGTAGGCATAGAGGGGGATAAGGCTATGCTCATCAGCTCTGTCAGCAATATGACAGCCACTAAGGTCGGTAAGGGACTGTCAGCGGCTTCCAAACTGCTTGCATGAGAACCCTGGGGAAAAGGAACCACAGTGTAAATGTTGTCCTGGAGAAATCTACATGGGGATGTGCCGTCTTGTGTCTTGGCTACTCATTAAAGACTCTTTTTCTCAAGAGCTAGAGACATTATCCTCAGCGTACTGGTCAAATTCCACATTGCTTGATTTTATTCTGCCTCTAAGTTTTGTTTGTGTTTTGGAGTGGGCACAATACTCATCTTCATTTCCTCTCCTCGACTCCTGCTCTGTTAAGCAGTTTGCATTTTCCAGCCAAGGGGCTGCCCCATCATGGTTGTGGCTGAGGTGAGCCCTACACCCTCAGAGCTGTAGAGCTGGCTTTGTGAAATGTGTCTGAGCATTCCTGGATGGAAAATAAATGTCCCCGTCATTCCTCTCTCAGTTGAACTACTGAGAAATATGGGCAATAGCAGAGAGCTCACAAAGTGCTGTGAAAACCTCAGCTTACCCATTATGTATTATGCATTAAAACCTGCCTCTATTGAGCTGTCCAAGATAAAGTCTTACTGGCATTTGATCAAAAGAGTAGGAAATTACCTTGATTTGTCCTGGCTAGAGCTGGCTGTCTCATGTAAAAAGTATTTGTGAATAAATTATTTGCAGATTGATGGGGGAAAAGTAAGTAATTTGTTTGATGAATATTGTTCAGCTGGCTATTGAGCTAACCAAATAATGAAGAAAAAAGCATCAATCAATGATTTATTGGAAAACCTACTTGAAATTCGACAGGAGAAAATAGTCAAACAATTTGCCACTATTATTTAAGTGCCAGTAGATCTGTATAGTGTTCATGCAGTAGTAAAGCACACCAGTTCAAGCCATGGCCCTATGAAAGGTATTGAAATATTAATTCAAATCTTCAAATCTATATTCATCTTCTACTTAAAGGAGAT